TGGGAATGAAAACGAAGAAAACTAAAACTGAACTAAGAACTGTTCTTCTGATTAAAATAAAGGCTTTGAAGAAAACATTCTGCTCCCTGAGATTTTCACAGGCTAATAGTCTATTCACATTTACAACCTAATCACCTTAATATAAACAGATTTGTGAGCCAATACAAGGAAATTTGACAAAAACTACTTGAAGTTTTTTTATAAATAAACTTGTTTCAAAAGAACAGAAGCCACCAGCAGAGCCAGGACCCGAGAATCAGACCCAAAAATTTCCCAGTATTCACGGGATTTCTTGCTAGTTCAAAAAGTTCATATTGCTGACTTTAAACATGTGCGCTGTAAGAGAGGCAGACAAAAATTTCTGCTCCACCAATCCATTTTGTCCTTTCAGGAAAACCTGTAGGTTGCTGTCATGTGGTAGGACTATCTGAATCATAAAGTTACTCCAATAAAGATAAATCAAGGACAGCTTGGCGTAACATTAATATATCAGGTTACAAACTGCTGTAATCCAGAAGACACTTTGTCTATAACAGACCCTGCAGAAGTGGCAACCCTCAGACAGGGAGATGAGTGAAAAGCGACCAGACTTACCTGTTTGTAAGTGAACCTCTGCTCCATCAGGCTTTTGCAGAAGCCTAGAAAACTTACTATTTAATGACTTTGAGTCAAAAAAAGAACTATATCAGAGTTAAAAGGGTCGGTAAAAAGGTTAATCACACCACGTAAATATTATGCCCATCTCTTCCAAGAAAAGAGAAAAATATTTAGCATTTATCAGAAGCTCATCTGAGGGCTTGTTATATGAGAGCATTTACTCTATTTGCAGATTATCAATGCTGCATAGGCTATTTTCAGTGGATTGTACTATGTGGCAATTAATTTTTCAATCATTGTTTTCTTTTAACCTGCAGATATTAGTGCTTTCCATATAGACGTGCTTAGAAAACAACAATCGTGAAAAAGAGCAAGCAGCTTTTTCAGAAAATAATGAAATAAGAAATCACTACCAATTCTAAACTTATCCTAACCCCCCCATATTCAGTGTTCCTTACCTGTTGAACACCAACAGCAAATGCCTTCAGGAACACTTCAGCAAACTCACTGTACTCCTTGGAAACATTACCAGGGCTTCCATACCTAGAATTAGAAGCAAGTATGCAAATTCAAGGGTGTAGCAATATTATTGACTTGAATATTTGTTTGGTTTTTTTTCAAAATAATACTGGAAGAGAAAATACCTCTCAAAAAGTCTAGCTAAGATATGCAAAGCCCACTTCTTGCATTTCCACCACGGCAACTCAGGTCTATCATCTTCATCAACTTGAAGGGGTTTCCTTTAAAAAAAAAAAAAAAACCTATTATCTACCAACCATTCACAAAGAGTTCAAATTATATGTATTTTGAACAACTGTACAGCATATTTTGCTTTTAACCTGCCATTTGCACTTCTAACTTAATAGAAGTATAAAGTATACCATATTTAAAAATAAATCACATGATATATGCTGCATAAATGGTCAAATTCCTGAAACAAGAAATCAAAATAAGTTGTGCTATAATTTCAAAGCAGCAGAACTCCCATACAAGTTACATATTTTCAAAAATTTGTCTAGCTTGTTTAAAACAACCTATTTAGATTAATAAATTATTTTCTTGACATCTGCTGAGAAAAAAGAATGCAGAAATAAAAAGCTGAACTTTTAAACACTCCAATGAAGGAAAAATATTTAAGCTTAAAGATATAAATAGCCAAAGGCCACTTACAGCTGGTACATCCCTATCGACAACAGTCTTCAAGATTTCTATCCATTCAGTCAGGTTTTGCTGATTTATCAACTCCAAAGGTAATGTGTACTTAATAAAACAAACAAACAAAAAAAACCCAAAAAAAACAGAAAAGGCAAAATAAATTTATTATAAAGCAATTTGAAAACTATGCTACTATCACAGTTTGAATTTTGAATTTTGGCTCTTTCTAATCTTAGTCTACACTTAGCTACCATGAAAGATTAGTAAACGACTCAAAAAAAACAGGTTGAAGAACTTAACACAACCTAGTCTATATCCTCAATATCCTCAAAGGTGCTAGAGATCTTTACTCCAATTTGTTCTGCTTATGCAATGCTAAGACACCACTTAAATGAATGTTACACTAATTTCTGAAGTGATTAACAGCATATTAACAGTTTCATTCCGAACTGCTGCATTTACACTGGTAATTCTATGTAGGCTGACCTCTACAATCTGTCATTAGAAAACCAATTTTCTAATTTTCTAATTGGTTTTCTCCTCTACCTTAGAGGATGGCATGCATAAGTTCTATCTAATGCCAACCAGGAATAGCACTGTACAAAAGTACAGCACAATCAAGCATACAAAAAAATCTGCGATTCATATCACAGTTGAACAGTAGGGCAAATGATTCAGATGTAATCTAATATTGTTAATATTTCTGTCATTTACTATTTTAAGGCAAAGCATAATGTTTTAAATTAAATTACTGATCAAGTATATCCAAAGTTTATTTTTTACCTGGACAAGGGCATAAAATATTTTGAAGATCTGTTTCTGGATGAGGACAGACTGATCAGATGGATCACTCAAGAGCTGAATAAAGCTATCCTTCAGAACTGGTAGAAAATGTTGCATTGCAGCTATCAAAGGACTTCGCTCCTCTGGTTTCTTGTACCTTTAGACAAGAACAAAATAGTTCTGTAGATCTTTCAGGTAGCTTTTGAATTACGAAAGTCCGCTTTTCCTTGGTGTAGACACAAGTAGGTTATATTACAGTTCATAACAACATATGATTTAAAAAAAAATCCTAGCCATTTCTTGTTACAGAATTTGAAACAAAGCTATAGCCAGACAACATTACAGCTCAAAGGCAAGTTATAAAACCGCTGAGCGTCCATTACTCCACTATATACTCACATTAATTTTCTGCTGGTAATGCACTCCTGCCAACTTACTCACTTTGAATACTACATCATGTTCAGCCACATCATTACTATAGTGAAAAGCAACTGGAGCACTACAAAAACTGCAAGCAAAAGCTACACATTTATTGCCAAGAATGGCAGATGCTGGGCTAGTCAGTAAAATTCCAGAAAGACATTTGTCAGAGTTCACAATTCATCAAAATATTTCCAGAAGCTGAATTACCTCACTGACATTGAAGAAATTAAACTATGAGGTGTCTCACATCTTACCATTTAATTTGCCCAAATTTAACAATTTGATAGAGAACGTAGGCTTCAGCAGTAGACTATGAGCAGGCTTCGATTGCAATCCCCCTTGAAATAGTGCCTCAGACCTTCCCATGCTGGTGACAGTCCACCACCAGCTTGCCTACCCTGAAAACAAGGCTCCATTTCCTTTCTCAAAAAATGTCAACATTCCTGACAGGAAATGAAGCCACATTTTGAAATCTTTCTCCCAACTTTTAACTATCAAAAAAGGAGGTCTTCATTGACTCCACAGTTATCACAGCAGAATAGGATCTTGTCCATACTGGTGACGATAATAAGAACAAAGTAAAATATCACTAAGACTGCACAGCTTCATTTTTCAATTAAGCCATTAATAGTGTAATACTCTTGGACCCTTGTGGGAGATTTTTGGGTTGGGAGATTGGGTTTTGGTTTGAGGTTTTTAAAATACATTTTTGGTACTTTTCACTAACATTAAATATCAATGTTCAGCCTCTTAAACTGTGCCAATTTGCAGAAATATAATATAAAGGCAACTCAGTCTGCTGCCAGATGGTATGTTCTGTAAAAACTACTACAGAACATTGAGCTCCAAAATCCTGTTCAAGAATATAGTTTACGTGTGTTTTCTGAAATAGAAAACTAACTATAAGAACTAAATCTTGGTCAGGAAAGCTCAGTTTCTGATTTCCACAAAAGACATAAATAGAAAAAGACTAGAAAAAAATGACTATGCAAAGAGCAGCCATTTGATCTTGCTGGCTGGATATGGAGAAAAATAAATAATATTGAAAAGCCAAGACACTTACCTTCCACACGAAGAAATTTTTTTTTTTTCCCAAAAACCCCTGATGTAAGTAATTTAACAAATTTTAGAGAGACATACTTGCACCTGTATTGTTATGCAATCCTACATGATTTGTGAAATTGACCCTTGTTGACTTGACCAGAAAGCTAAACAAGCATGAGCAGATGCTGGCCTCAGCTAGAGTGTTCGATCAACTACTATCATCAACACACCTGTTACCTTAGTTAATCATGCAATGGCTGTGCTCATATCAAAATTCTTCCCTA